CAGACACTCATTAGCAGTAGCATACCTCATTCGAACAGATGAGTTTGGATCACCAATAATTTGATTTATCGGATGAGGTCCACTTGGTGCTATGAGGTAGGGGAATGTAAGAAGATTGATCAGAATTTTGATCTATGTAGGTATTTGGGGAGTTGTCCTGAATTGGATAAGGTGAAGGTTCAAAATTAGAATTTGAACTTAGCTGAATATCTAACTGAGTTAAAAGAATTTTCATCTTCAATAACTGACACCTCTGGTAGATTTTTGTTCGAGCCCTCTTCACACTGAATTGGACAACATGGATATTCCATAACTATTTCTTCATTTACTTCTTCGTCATCAACTTCTTCATAAATCTCTTCAAAAGTAGTAACTGGAACATCAGTAGATGGACAAAATACTTGACTCATTAGATTTATTTCCAAAATATTCATCATAGAAATTTCCAAAAAAAAGTATCCAAATCAGAAATATTTTGATTCAAAGAGGATGACTTAGAAAGATTTACATATCAGCACAGGTCCTAAACTGTTTTGTCCAGAACCCACAACATCTGATTCTTCATCTTCATATGTCAGATTCAGCAAATGATCATCCTCCGTCATTAAAGATTTTCCCACATCCTTTTGTTTAGAAAGAAGGAACCTATTCTTTGTAGTAATTAATGTTTTTGAGCAACATCTGCTTAAGGTCTTGAATCATCCCTCTGTATCTCATTCAAATGATCCAGATAGTAATTCCTCGAAAAATTTTTCAAGCTCCCCATCGACGCAACAGAAGGACGAAAGCATTGATACTTTTCTACAAAGATCTCATAATCTTAATGAAATCTCTACAACCCAAAATCCACAAAAAGATTTTCTTGTCTCTGACTCGGAATCAGAGGTGGACTCGACTGCAGAGCAAATTGAGACAGAGATAGTGAAGCCAGAACCAGAAGGTCACAAACTTCAAAATGGGATATCAAATAAATATGTTCCAACAATAAAGTAGAGGAAAAAAATTCCCGTGTCCTGACTTCGTGGACATGTGTTTGAAATCCAAGTCTTCTCTTGAGCTCGAGAAATAAAACAAGGCTAAGAAACCCAAATCTACCACATCTGCATCTAGATTTCAAAAGACAATGAAGTTCACTCTGGAAGAGAAAGGAAAGTTTACTTCTAATTATAAATTCAATTCCTCTGTTTTAGAGAGGGCTCTAAAAGCCAAAGGAGTAAAAAGGGAGAAAGGCAGGCCAGAGAAGACAAAGGCCAATTTAAATAAACAATTGAAACTAGATACAAAGTTATTTCGAACAAAAAAAATGCTAGGAACGGTTGTAATAATATGTTTGATGAATCTAATGAATCATTTTGTCCTCAAAATTGTGTTCATACTTGCAAATGTCTTTCTTTGCTACGACAATTAAAGTAGCAACTTTCTAGCCCTAATTGCATTCTCTATGGGTCATCCAAGAATAAATCTAAAAGAACCTAGAAGTAGAAAACTCTTAAGGCCAAATCTGGCAAGCCAGATCCCAAGTCTGGAAAATCAGGTTTTGAGGCATACCCTTCCCCCAAACCAAAAGTCAGGTACCAAAGCAATCTTAAACTGTTTTCTTGTGTACGAAGTCAAAGGCATTTGGTATCTCGATACTGGATGCTCAAGACATATGACTGGAGACAAATTCTGCTCATCGATTACAAGGATGAAAGAGGCCCTTCCGTAACCTTTGGAGGAAACGGAAAAGCATATACCAAAGGTTTTGGTATATTAAGCAATAGTTCAACCACTTCCAAACATGTTGCCTATGTTGAAGGACTGAAGCACAATCTTCTCAGCATCAGTCAGTTGTGCGATAAAGATTTCACGGTGAAATTTTCTAAGAATTCATGCTACGTCTTTGACAAGGATGATAAGGTTGCTCTAATCAGTTCTCGTCTAAAGAATGTATATATCATCAACATGGATTTTTCTGTTACTAAGAACAAATGTTTTCTCCCAAATTGTTCTTCAGATATCAACTGGTTGTGGCACAAACGGCTTTTTGATCTCAACCTCAATACACTCAGTGAGTTGTCTCGAAATGATCTCATCACTGGTGTTCCTCAACACACTTTTGCAAAGGAATCTCATCACTGGTGTTCCTCAGCATGTGAGAAAGAAAAACAGACAAGAGCTAGCTCCAAGTTTAGGCAAATCTCTTCAGCGACCTCTCCACTTCAAGTCTAAGCAAATCTCTTCTTCCTTAGATCCAAAAGTGAAGCACCTGAAGAAATTATATCATTCATCAAAAGGTTAGAAGTACTTAACAATATTAAGGTACGATCTATCAAAAGTGACCATGGAACTGAATTCAAAAACAGTACTATGGATAGCTTCTTTGAGGACAAGGGAATCTCTCACTTCTCTTCTGTGAGAACTCCACAACGAAATGGGGTCGTTGAAAGGAGAAATCGAATAATCATTGAGGTTGCTCTCTCAATGCTCAGCGAATCTCATCTTCCCACTCATTTCTGGGCTGAAGCTGTCAATACTGGATGTATCACTCAAAACTGGTCGCTGATCGTTAAGAGATTTAAGAAGACAGCTTACGAATTCTTCCATAGCAGAAAGCCTTGTCTCAACTTTCTTCATATTTTTGGTTGCATGTGTTTTATTCTCAACAACCGTGATCAATTTGGAAAGTTCGATCCCAAAGCGGATGAAGGAATCTTTCTTGGATATTCTTCAGTATCCAAAGCCTTCAGAGTATTCAAGAAACACCGACAGACAATACAAGAAACTATTCATGTCACATTTGACGAATCTAAATCAGCTAATTCTAAACCCATCATTAATGATGTCGAAGAATTTGAAAACTAGATGTTCTCTCATGCTGGTCAACATGAAACTTCCTTCAGCAATCCACCCAACGCTAAAGCTCTAGAAGCTGAGGATGATCCACTAATCATTCCAGTTGCAGCTAATGTGATAACCGGGTTTCAGACAACCTGGGTTGAGGTAACTTATACATGGTTATTATGTTAATTACGTGAAGTATGCATGATTAATTTAGAAATGCATGAATCATGTATGCATTTGAATATAATGCTATGCATGCATATGAAAAGATGATATGTACGTGTATATGATAATATGCATACATGAATAATGTGAAGGTGCTTGTGCGATAACATGCTTATGTGGAATATATTATTAAAATAGATAGTATCTATTTTTTTCAAGGAAACCAGGAAAATTTATAATACCAATAAAAGAAATACAGAGTTTAGGCGTACTACCACACCCAACAAAACTGAAACGCAAAAGACTTGTTCACAACACCATACCAAGCCACAACGAGCCAGAAGGTACAAGGCCCAACAGACACAAACAAGCTACAAAAGATAAACAAAAGGAGCTTAAACCTCATAAAAGCTCCCTAACCAAAACCCTATCCTTCATATAACCCATCAATCCGCTCAACCCGTCTCTCCAACCAAGCCGCACGAATGGAAATTTTGCCTTTGATTTCCTTTATAAGTTGTACAGTTGTGCAGCGATTCTCGGTAAAGAGTCTTCAATTCCGTTATTGCCTGATGTAGTAAACTGAAGCTGCAAGCGCTAGCTTCTGCTTCAAATGTTTTGGCGATCGCCTCTGTCTGAAATAGCTTCCAGGATTTGATCCCACGAGTTTGGCATATTCATTCAGTCCACAACATGTAAGATACTATCCCAAACCTCTCTTGAGAAGGAACACTAGAAAAATAGGTGGGAATGGCTATCCATGCCAGTGCTATAGAGCGAGTATTCCAAGTCCGGAGGTTCATCATTCCAAATCATACGGTCTTGGGTAGGAAGCCGCCGATGACAAGCAAGCCAAAGATAGAAAGCATGCTTAGGAATATAGCCTGAGAACCAAACCGATTTATACCAATGTACAACCGGATGGTTCCCCTCCAACGAAGACCAAGCAGTACTAACCATGAAATCCAAACTAGAGTTGTTATTATCCCTCCATAAATCTCTTATCACGAACAGAGTCATTCAAAGACGACAAAGGAGCAGCATTAAGCTCAACATACCTATTACACCAATCAACCGGCCACACCCCATCCAAACTCATAATTAACTCCCGAACGGTAGTGATAGTCGAAAACCCACAAGAATGAATGAATCTGTAGGAGATGAATGAAGAAAAATGACCACAGGCGATCCACGTATCCTTTGAAGCATTAGAATCCCGTACATCACCAATCTGGGAGACCAGAAATCGTCGCAATTGAGGTCGTAAATCCAACAGCTTGCGCAAAACCCACGACCAATTGTAGGTTTTCCGAACGATCCAGAAGTGCGAAGATCTAAGATTATTCTGGTACACCCATTTCACCCACAACGAGTTAAGGTGCCTCACAATATCCTAGATATGTTTGGCAAGTAACGCCCTATTCCAGGTTGCCAAACGCTGAATACCAAGACCATCACTCACAAGAGGCCAACACACCACTTCCCAAGATAACCTGCACCTGCCTCTAGGATCCTCCCATGGATCCCAAAGGAATTTCCTAAAGATGGTTTCAATATCATGGATAAGCCCAGAAGGAAACATGAACATAGACATCCAATGAAGTTGTAAGGATTGAAGGACCGATATGATAAGTTGTCTTCGCCCTCCAAAAGAAAGGAACTTAGACTTCCATTTGAGAATACGACCGTTAATCTTAGCAACCAATGGGCCATAATCACCTGACTTCAAACGGGTATGGGACAGTGAAACTCCCAAGTACCAATAGAGAAAAGAATCAACTTTGAAAGGAAGACACTCAAAAATTGCCTCTTTAATATTAGAAGGAACATTCCCAAAGAAAATCTCACTTTTCTCAAGACTTGGCGCTAACCCCAAGCTATTCTGGAAAAGATAAAGTGCCTTTTTACGAACCTCAACCGATTGAACATCTCCCTTCGTGAACACGAAAAGGTCATATGCAAAGCATAGGTGTGTCAAATACAAATCTTCACAACCTCTGTGATACCCAAAATCAGCAGCTTCCGGAATGCATTGCTTGAGGAGCATAAAGAACCCCCTCCATCACGATCATAAATAGATAAAGGGATAACGGATATCCTTGCCTCAGCCGCCTTCCCCCATGAAACCCGTATGAATTCTCATTAATCGCAAGCGAATAAGAAGGAGTAGAAACCATCTCCCTTATCCATTCGACAAGAACCGAGTGGAATCCCATTCCTTGAAGCATAATAAGAAAGAATTGCCAGTCCAACGTATCATAAGCCTTTCTGATGTCAATCTTAAACGCGTATCTCAGAGATCGTTCCTTAGATTGGTAGCCCGAAACCAGCTCATGAGCCATAAGAATGTTATCCGTAATCCTCCGACCCAGAAATAAAGCTGATTGGGCCCCATCAATTAAAGAATCCAAATGACCCTTCATTCTGTTAACGATAACTTTATAAAATGCATTTGTAAAGCACCATACAACAAGCTATAGGACGGTAATCTGAAGCCTTAGATGCATTAACAGATTTAGGGATAAGACAAATAAGCGTATGATTCAATTCTTTCGGAAGGTTACCTCAATAGAAGAAATTGTGGATAGCAATCTCCTCGTCACGACCGATGATATCTTAAGAAGCTTTGAAAAACCGAGAGGAGTAACCATGTGATCATGGGGCTTTAATATTGCCAATACTAAACATAGCATTTTTTTTATCTCTTCATTAGAAATAGGCCGGATCATATGGTTGGCTTCAGATAACTAAAGTTTCTGGGTAAAAAGATCATCCAACATAACTGGATAAGTTGAAACGTCCCGCATACCAAGAAAACCTTTGAAGTAATCCACAAACACATTTGGGACATCATCCCCATAAACATAGTCACCTTGGCTAGTATAGACGGATTGGATGAAGTTAGAGTGATGCCTTTTTTTATCACATTATGGAAGAATTTAGTATTCATATCTTCCTCATTCAAACATTTGACTTTGGCTCTCTGCTTGGCGTCACATTCCTCATCCCAGCAAGCCTTTTGATAAGCAAGAAGAAGGTGACCAAGATCAAGGCCCAAATCCACATTTGAGGGGTCATTGTCCACCGCCAACTGTATTTGATCTAACTCTGCTTTCAAGAAGGACACTCGAGCAGCTAGATTTCCATAGGAATTACGAAGCTTTCATAGAGGGTTCTTCAGGGCCTTCAAGTGACTAGTCAGCTGAAACATAAAGGTCCCCTCTACATGTTTTGACCATTCTTCCTTCACAACCTGCAAGAAAGACGGGTGTTCCACCAAGAAATTATCAAATTTAAAGCCCCAACTCTTTTTCGTATTCCTCCTTTGAAGGACAAAACTGCAAGAGAGTGATCCGATAGCCTAGAAGGTAAGAAGTGAACTTTGGCATCATGGGACTGAGAAGTAAATTTCGAATTATCCAGCACCCTATCCAGTTTGTGCTTGATGCCCCCCCTCTTCATTTGGCTTTTGGTTCCAAGTGAAATGGATACTCGTGTAATGCAAATCAAAGACTTCCACATCCTCCACACAAGCAAAGAAATCCATCATATCAGTATTACGACGAGAGGACCCCCCGAAACCGTCATGAGGAAACAACATGGCATTGAAGTCACCCATAACAGTCCAAGGTTTAGAGCCAATTAATACTTTGAACTTTCGAAGGCCTGACCATAACTCTCTCCTATTATTGCAATTATTGGCCCCATAAACAAAGGAAAAGAAGATAGGGTATTGGCCACCCCTGACATTTAACTTGCAATTCAAGAATTGCTCATGGACCTCAAGAATCATAACATCGAGGACCCGTAAATCCCAAACAAGAAATAGGCGGGTCCCCGATTCACAAGCCATCTGGTTTGCGATCCAAGACCAACACCCAAAAGTACTAGAGCAAACATTCTCAAGGGAATCCTTGGAAACGTGAGACTCTATAATTGCACATAAACTTAAATCATTACAATGGATTAAACCTTTCACCTCCTTTTGCTTAAACGGGGAGTTGAACCCCCGAATATTCCAAGAAGCGAATTTCAACATGAGGAGGTACTTCGAATCTCCACCCCTTGGTCCCTAGTTTCCACATTCAATGTACTCGAGGTAGGTTCTTTGTCTATACCTTCTTGAGTCTCTTCCCCTCCCAAATTCTCTAGAACCCCGAATCTGTTAGAAGCCGTCGTGGAATCAATCATGACCCGTCTCCAAGCCATTAGGAAAGACTTGACAACCGAAGCTAGAAGAGGGGCAGTTTTAACATTTGAGTGAGTAGAAGAAGTCCCATAAATCACATTCTTGGCTACCCCATTCGTACCCTTACCTGCTCCATTTGAAACGACTTTCACAACTTGGCCAGATTGAACAGACGATTCTTCATCAGTTAGATCCACATTCTGCTCCACAGACTGTTCTCTCCTAGATGTACTTGCTTCCATGATTTTCGGATTAGATTAACCAGCTTTCACATTTGAACTTTTAGAACGAGGAACCAAAGATTGAGTATTACCACCGGATTTGCCTCTCCATTGCTTTTTCTCCACCCTAACGAACCCCTCCGAGTCTTTTCTCCCATCGACATGCTTCCCTTTAATAGGATTAACGGCCTTCACACATGACGATGTTTTGTGCCCAAAAACATGGCAGTGGGAGCATTGAAGCGGCTCCCAAATATATTCCACATGGATATTGACTTTTTCATCCTCCCATTGGTTTAGGTTTGAAATCAGTACCTTAATATGCCGTTTAAGGTCACCGATGGCCCACACCTCAACTAGCACTTTTGCAAACCCCGGATGTCCCCAGGCCTTATCACACATGACTGCCTTACAGGAATCCATTTGTTTCGGTACACCCAAAGCACTAGCTATTCGGCTAATGCCCTCCTTATTAAATGCTAATAATAGAATATTATGCAACTTCACCCATAAAGGACAAGTCGTGTGCTCCAGTTTTTGTAGCCCCTTAGATGGGTCCCAACGATAGACAAATAAAGGTATCCCACAGATCATTAACTGTCCAGCCTCAATAACCTGGTCACACCCTCCTACATCAATGAATTTGAAAAAGAATATAACATTCTTGTTCATCATTGCGTCAGAATACCTATATTTTCCCCATCCAGCTTTGAGAAATTTTTGCACAAAGGGAAAAGGAATGCGAGGGCCCAAAAAATAACCGAGGTATATTGGATCGTTCAAAATTTGTAAACGGATTAGGCCGGTAGCTTATCAGTTGGAATTACTAGAAAAGCTAAGTCAGATTCACAGCACCTTTCATGTATCAAATCTGCGCATGTGTTTGGCAGACCCAAGCCTAGCAATACCACTTCCCGAGATTAAACTAGACAATAAGTTGAACTTTGTTGAAACACCGGAGGCCGTGACTGACAGAAAGATCAGGGTGTTAAGAAATAAAAAGATCAGTTTTGTAAACGTAGAGTGGCGTTATCATAACGGTTCAGAAGCAACATGGGAACTGGAATCTGATTTGAGAACCTGATACCCTTGGTTATTTGAATGAATGAATTCCAAGACCCAATTCTTTTGAGGGGGAAATAATGTTATAACCGGGGTTCAGACAACCTGGGTTGAGGTAACTTATACATAGTTATTATGTGAATTACGTGAAGTATGCATGATTAATTTAGAAATGCATGAATCATGTACGCATGTGAATATAATGTTATGCATGCATATGTAAAGATGATATCTATGTGTATATGATAATATGCATACATGAATAATGTGAAGGTGTGTTAGGACTGAAAGTCAGTGTAAAATTGTATTCATCTTGGAAGTTACTATTGTCTATAATTAAAATAGACATTGTGTTTGACTTTGTATGTAAGGTTTGACTTTGACTAGGACTTTATAGTTTGACCCTATAAATAGGGTGTTTGTCTTGTAATTGTAGTGTGTGCTCATTTGTAAAATTCATTTACGTAAAAGGAGAGTTTGACTAGATCTTTGAAGTTTGATTTCTCTCTCAACCTCCTCTCAAAGTGTTCTTGATTGTAAATCAGATCTGCCATGGATTATTGAAGCTTATCAGAAGATTGATCATAACAGGAGCACACAATTGGTATCAAGTAATTGGTGATCCATCAGCACCCATTCGTACACGGTCTGCGACGGCAAATGAGTGTCTTTATTCCACCTTCATGAGTACTACTGAGCCAACTAAGGTTTCTGAAGTCTTATGTTAGCTCTATTATTCACTTCTTGTAAAAGTATGAAAAAATATTCTGCAAGTGTTGACAGAAGGGTATCTTCCACAGAAGACAACAGAGGACTAGCAACAGAAGTTGTTTCACCGTGCAAGTAAAGTGTAACAGAACCTCTGATGTCTCTCACAGAGGTTCTGGAAAATGGTCCTCTGGCAATAAGATCATACAAGTCAATTACAGCAGAGCCTCTGAGATGGCTCACAAAGGGTCTGCGGATTAGTCTTCTGTGAAGATCCTATTCTACTGTTTTTCAAAGGTTGTTAGCTGCATGTGCTTCTCACATGACTAGGACTTTAATCAACTTTATTTGGACGGCTTAGATGATTTCATGCGTCAAGATCGTGTAAGTAAGGTCGTTAGGAACTAGTATAAATAGCAGCTTCGGCCTATGTAAATTGAGTGCTTCCGTATTGTAATCGTCTATTTTCAATTGAATGAATTGAAAACCCTTTGAAGCTATTTTCCTGTGTTCATCTTCCACATCATCTTAATTGTGTGTTCTTGGTTTATTTTACTCTGTTTTGTTCTTAATATTGTTTCCGCTGCACTTTAATCGTCCTAAAGTTCATTCAGAGTAACAGATCAATATCAAAGATAAATATATAGGTCCAATAATTGGTATCCAAGCAGGAATTGAATTCTTATTCGATTAATTCTGTTTTTGGTATTAATCTGCATTTTCAAGAACACTAGTCTTCTTCAGGTTACCCTGTTTTACTCTATTAAATCAGCTTCATCTTATTCCTATTTTTCTTCTTCTAATTTCAATGGCGAACTTGGCCAATACCTCGTTCATGAGCACTGGTTCTCAATCAAAACTCCCACGCTTATCCGTGAGGAGTATCCGCAATGGACGGTGCAAATGATCAACTTTTTAGAGGGAATTCAACCTAGAATATGTGAATTTCTTTACAATCCTCCTTATGTGCCAATGAATTTAATTCCAAGAGTTCCAGCTACTGGCACAACCCCTGAAATTCCTGAGMATTACGAGCCAAGACCTATTGCTAACTGGAGTGATGAAGACAAGATACTGGTTGAATTGAGCAGCAAGTGCAAAAGGTTGTTAATCATAGCAATATCTCACGAGATCTTTAAATGTATTGATCACTGCCAACTGTCCATGCATATTTGGGCAGAATTGGAAAAACAGATTGAATGAGGTAAGAAAACACTCAAGAACAATCGAGCCATTTGCATTG